ATGATCGAATTTCTTTTTTTTCATTTTAATCATCAAAGAAATTTTACCCAGCAAAAAATCATATTTGTGAGAAGCTGCTAAGTTGGTTATGTTCAAATGTTGCGTCGAGAAAGAAAACCTCACTTACAACGTGGAAATGAATACTTTTTATATTCATTTAGCCATACTATGAACATGACAATATACATTAAAGTTATATTTTAAGCTTTTCTTCTTCTTCTTCTTCTTCTTCTTCTTCTTCTTCTTCTTCTTCTTCTTCAATGACCTGTGTCCCATTCGGATGTTGGTCATCATGCTCCTCCACAGCGTTCAATCCTTTTTAGATCTTAGCAGTGTTTGCCTTTTTTGCTTTCTCTCCCAATCACAGTCCTGCCAACTATTAACACAAGTCCGTTAAGAAAGTTTTTCTCTGCTTTCATCTCTCTCTCTTGCCTTCAGTCTGTCCTGTGAGTGTTACATTTTCCTAGCCCTCTTTCCTTACTATGTAACGTAGAAATAAATATCCAGAATCCACTTCCACTGATATTACATGTCAGGCCCATACTGCTTTCCTTATTTCTAACCAAACCTTCTTGTTTCTTAATACATTACTTAGCTTTTGGAAGGCATCCACCGCTATTTCAATGCTCTTTCGTTGGGTCTTTTAATATATTTGTACAATTATTATATTAATAGTTAATAAATGTGCAGTATAACCTTGCATAAATACATGTTTTCTCGTACATTAAAAAAATGATAGCCTATATGAAATTCCTGTTTTCTAGGGCATTATTATTAAAAGATTTGATAATATAAATATTTATTATACTTTTTGTTTTACAATTATTCTGTCAATTATTATGTCAATTATTATCATAATTTGTCGTAATACAAGGGATTGATTTGGATTGGTTTGTTTTACGGCATATTAATGGGTTACTTAATGCCTACAAGATTTTTATTGTTTGTCATGTTATTTTCAAAAATGCATTGTTAATATTTTTTTTCCAACAATGTCTTACTGATAATAATTTTTCCTTCAAAAATGTATTGCTGGAAATAATTTTTCCTTCAAAAATGTATTGCTGGAAATAATTTTTCCTTCAAAAATTCATTGCTGTAATAATTTTTTAGAAAAATGTATTGACGCTATTAAAATCTATTTTTACACATCCATAGAATTTTGACCCCAATTTGGGGGTTAACTATTTGCCCATAGTCGAGACTGCAATAGATGCTTCCACCCCGGGTCCTGGACACTAGGGATTGGTATAGTACAAAAAAACACCAGAATTTATAGCCTGTAGATTTTTTTTATACTGCTACTGCTATCTGCCTGATAACTTGTTCTAAGAGGTGGTGTGATTGGCTCTGCACCCAATCTCTGTATTATGAGGAAGTCTTTTACTTACCGGTTTCGGAGACGGTTTGGAAAAACCCACCATCTTTAGAACAAAAATCAGAGAGAGAAGCGATTGATGAAACAATATTCCGAAACAAAAATGGACTTCTAATCAGTCCCTACCAGGGACAAAAAATGGCTTCTAAATGTTAACGCCTCAAAAAAAAAAAAAAAAATTGCTATTACTTAATCATCGTAGAGAAAAATTTTGCCCTCAGTCAGCGTGGCTGATGCTATTATCTAGGAAATCAAATCATTGCATCTTCTTGGTCTCATGTGTCTCACTGATAGGAAGTGGGGCGATTATATTGAAACAATTTCAAAGTCTGATGCGACGAAGATTGGTTGAATGTGTAGTACCATTTTCTTGTCAGAATCCATCTTTCCCATTTATAAGTTTACCATTCCTCAGTGTATTGAATATAATTGCCATATCGGTTCTGCTACTCCGGTTATATATCTCGTGTTTCTCGGCAAAATCCCAAAAAGTACTAGCAATTTTATCGGTCCTGACCTGGCATCTCGACTAGAGTCATTTTCCCACCGCGATGACTTGCCTTCTCTCTGTTTTCTATGAATATTTCCATGCCAGTTCTCCTCATAGCGCTCCCTGGCTTGGTCCCTCGACTGAGTCAGTTTAAGCGTACTACTGTTAGATTCACAAATAGGTCTCATCTTTTTACTGTTGAAGTAGCTAGATGTATCTGTAAGTTTATTTTTGTTTTGTTTTTTTAAGCATTTCACCCCAAGCAAGGCGGGAAGCCACTAGGACGCAAGGGGTTACAGAAAATTTAGAGCAAGATCAGATAGGAGTGATAGAAGAAAGGATGAGGGTAGTGGATAGATCAAGGCAACTGGAGATGTCGATTGACATTACACTTGAATAGCTGGAGATTATAGCTCACAGGGAAACAGGAATAGAGAAGGGATTTCCACAGGCGAGAGGTGCGAGACATGACGCTATTAGAGTAGAAGAGACGGCTACATTTAGGAGTTTCGATAGTGAAGGGGTGAGAGCGGAATGCCAGCCTCGTATGACGCTGGAACTCGTGACGTCTGGGAACCAGCGAATGCAGCTCCTCGGAGCAATTTCCATGAAAGTATTTGTAGAACAGACAGATTCTAAAAGTTTCTTTTCTCGCACTTCTTGCTTGTGGAACTCTATTCAGGTTTCTTGCTACTTCAATTATCAGAAATGTAAATGCAACGTCAATAGTCATTTTTGTTCTACCGTAAATCTGTTCGTCTATTGTCCTTTCTTCTCACTAAAATATTCTCCATCTCTTTCAATCCTAGCAGGCCCCAGTGCGTCTTTGTGGCATTATCGTTTTGCTTCGGGTAGGACTATTCCAAAAAAAGTAATTCGAATATAATTTTCTAACTTAATAGCTTGGATTTTTTTTACTGAATTGCACATTTTTATTAATGTATCTTAGAATGGCTGACTATGTGCTTTTGAGAAAACAATTAAATTTAACAGTAGACATCTACATACCTACTCTTTATTGGTAATGAGTAATAATTACTCCCAGGCTATTTTTTGTTCTTTTTTCTGACACATCTTTCAAATTTTCGGCCGATTCATTCTACGACATTCTTTTAAAGCGGGTCATTTTTTATATATTCTTTCAGTTTCGTTTCTGCTTTTCCATTGTAGCTGTGATTTCGAATCTTCATTCAAACGTTCACACAGGTTCCAGTTGTATGTCTATCTTTGGAATCAATATGATTCCATTGTTTAAATATATCCTTTCTTTTTAACAGTATTCCATTTTATATCCTGCCCGTCTATTTTTAAAACCGTTGTCTTTCAACCTGTTATTATCACTAATATCGCCATTAAAATTATTAAAATCAATTATTATAACCATTCTATTCGGTAAGATTCTTTATAATCATCTTCTCGTCCTTCACTCTTTGACGCTGTCTATTCTTCTTTTTTTTATTTTGTTTCTATCCCGCTTTCTATCAGCTTTTACTCTTCCTGCCCATCTCTCTCGATCCATCATGGCGACCACTTTCTCTATCATCAACTGCATTCGTTTCTTAGGCATTGTCTTCACCTCAATACGGCGATCTCTTTCTACGTTTGCCTCTTGTAATTTGAAAACCCATTCACGATCGCCGTGTAATGAAGCGTAGACGAGCAATTAGAAGTACACGCAATTATGGGGAAAATTAAGGGTGGACTGGAATGAATTTATATTCTCTTCAATCACGTGTAGGAGTGGGGATAGAAAAAATGTAGAGATTATAGTGATTTTGTGAGTGGGAAAGGTAGAAGATAGCCCAGAGTAGAAACAAAGCAATAAAAGGCAAATAATCGTATAATAATATTAATATTAATAATAATAATAATGATAACATTAATATTAATATTAATAATAATAATATTGATATTAATAATTATAATATTAATAATAATAATAATTTTAATAATAATATTATTAATATTAATAATATTAACATTATTAATAATAATAACATTAATAATAATAATATTAATATTAATAATATTAATAATAATAATAACATTAATATAATAATAATAATATTAATATTAATAATAATAATATTAATAATAATAATAATTTTAATAATAATATTAATATTAATAATAATAATAATAATGATAATATTAATATTATTATTAATAATAATAATAACATTAATAATAATAATAATAATAATAATAATAATACTAATTGATATGGCTTGTCCAGCGGATTGTAACATAGCAACCAAGGAATTTGAAAAACTATCAAAATACAAAGACCTGGAAATTGAAATAGAAAAAATGTGGAAATTGAAAACAAGAATAATACCAGTGGTAATAGGTGCACTTGGAATTATAAAAATGGAACAAAACAACACATTGAAAGAATCCTGGAAACCCCAGCTTAAGAGACATACAGAAAATTGTCTTATTAAGTACAGCACACACACTAAAGAGAACTTTGTCTATGTAACGCTAGCAACTTCATCGGAGAAAAAAAAAAAAAAAAAAAAATTAACATGAAATGTGGCCATAACAACACACCACGACCTGCCTTAGGTCTTTCCGCAGACTTGGTAGGTAGTGTGTCCATAGCAGAAATCGAATGATGATGATGATAATAATAATAATAATAATTCATCGCAAAATACAGATTCTGTGATACATATCCAGAAACAATTGACCAGCTTATATCAGACTGTGCGGTATTGTCACCCACTGAATTTAAAACCCGGCATGACAGAGTGGGTCAATATCTGCACTGGAAAATTCTGTAGCACCTATGGAAAGGTAACTGCAAGAAATTGGTATCAAAACCACCTCGACTCGGTTACGGAGATAGAAACTGTAACAGTTTTAGGACATTTACAATACACACAGACAGAACAATGAAAGCTAATAGCCCTGACATCGTGATTAGGGACTGCAAAGAGAAATGTGCCTCCTTATTCATATGCAGACAGCAATGTATTTTTGAAGATCTTCAAAAAGCTATCAAAATACAAGAACCTTGAAATCGAAATCTCAAAAATGTGGCACATGAGGACATTAACAATTCTAGTTGCAGTTCGAGCCCTCAGACCGATTAGAAAAGATTTCCAACAGACTCATTTAAGGGATTCCTTGTAGCCTATGCCTTAAATAAATACAAAAATATGTTCTCAGAAATATAGTCCACACCTTACCAAGGAATTTATCTATGTAAAATGTGTGTGTGCGTGTGTCTGTGTGTGTGTCTGCGTGTGTGTGTACGTTTTTCTTTTTTTCAAAACTCCTCATTGAAAAATATCATGATGCCATTTCTGACCTTATGTCTCTGTTCGGCACCCAGAAAGAAATGAGTATACACCAGAAATAAAACGAAATAAAATTCTTGCTGTACAACATCAATGCTTGCTAACATGAAATTACAAAGCACACATAGTGAAAAATTGTGTTAGTCCAAAATGCAGATTCTCTGATAAATATCCAGAAACAATTGATCATCTTGTATCAGGTTGCAAGGTAGTTGGCATCCACTGAATATAAAACACAGCACGGCACGGCAGCCCACACCTTACGAAGGGCTTTATCTATGTAAAATATGTGTGATTCTTTTTTAAAACTGCTCAGTAGAAAATGTAATGAGGCCTTTGCTAACTTCAGGTCTTTGGTCAGGATCCGAAAAGAATTGAGTATACACTAGAAATAAAAGAAAATAATAATAATAATAATAATAATAATAATTCGAATAAATGACGTCTTAAAACTACTGATATAATTATAATAAACGTTGCCCTAAGAAAAATCAAGAAAGCTATATAAAAACGCATTAACAAGAACCTTAGCATTCCCTGTTTATAAATGATTAAAACTATGTTGAATTACTTATCTTGGGATAAAAATCACTTCAGACTTCGCGAACATTTTCTCCTCTGCATTTGATTCTAGGAAAATTCGACTTATATAGAGAGGCTATACGAATAATCCAGATCATTTGCTGGAAAACACCCCGCCTGCATACAGAAAGGAAAAGAGTTAAATAACTAGGCAAAAAAAAGTAGAAAAAAAAGAGTAAGAAAATATTGGGTTTTATCGCCAACAGATTTATTCAACCTATACAGCAAGATGACCCAACATATTGCTAGACAATCTACCAGTATATATAATCGGTGGCCATTTAATACATTAAGTCATTGAATAAAAATTAAAATCTCTCGGAATCGCTATGCGGATATTCAACCAGCATAGTAAAAAATGTTCGTCATAGGTATAAAATATAATGTCCGTCTCTTCATTCATATTGAATGATCACTATTTACATTATTCGGACTATTGTCCTCATCTTTGTCGCCATATTTATTACAACATTTCGGCCGTTGTACGCTCCAGAATTCTTCAGGTGGTTGGAATGTCGAACTGAACCCTTTATTTCGCTCACTGGGTTAGACGGTTCCGAGTGAGCGAAATAAAGGAACTAGTACAGTCTACCCCAGTAAGCGAAATAAAGGGTTCAGTTCGACATTCCAACCACCTGAAGAAGGCTGGAGCGTACAACGGCCGAAACGTTATAATAAATATGGCGACAAAGATGAGGACAATAGTCTGAATAATGTAAATAGAGTACATAATACCTCATCACAGAAATATAGACAGATAATGGATGTTCTCAAGACATATTCTTTTAGTCTTAGATGAAACAAGAAATTCTATAATGGTATTCCATTGCGCCAGTGGCAGCCCTAATATTAAATTTAAAACGCAATCATGAAATAATTCATCTTACGACAAGAGGTTTAGCATTAACGTAGACTATCACATCCCCACCTCTCTCTCTCTCTCTCTCTCTCTTTCTCTCTCTCTCTCTCGCCCTCTCTCTCTCTCTCTCTGTTTCTTTCTCGTAGATATGCGTAGGTTGATAATGACGTCATAGATTTGTCAGGGCTTCCTGTTTGCAAAAGACGTTGCTGAGGAGTAGCCGTCCAAATATCAAAGAATATTTGCCAGATGAGGCTTCTTCTGTCTTTGTTGATTTCAAACAGTTTTATTTTTAAATCTCTTATAGTTTCATTCAGGAACTTTGTCTCAATTTCTTCCTCTGCCATCTTGATTCTCAATTTTCTCTTATTTTTGTCGCTTGTTCATTCAAATATCTCTTTGTCGTCTGCCAGTATCTACCAATCTATAACAGGCATTTCCTGTTGATTTTCTTTCTCTTCCTGACACTTTATAAATATATTTTTTCTCTATTTGAAATTTTTCTTTAACTACTAAGTCACTCCTGGACATAGGCGATCACGACTCTCCAAGTCCTTTTCATTATTAACTATGAATTGCCATCCATTCTTGCGAAAGAGAGTGAAGTGGGTTGCTTTTCCCTCTACACGATTTTGAATTCGGTATTTTTCATTCCTTAGACAGGTGTAACTCGCGAGATTATAGGCCCTAGTCTAATCGGCTATTTAAGCAATACCTAGGCACGGTTATTGGGACGGATTCATGCCTTACACAAAGACATTAGTGCAAAATGGAACTCAACAGACTAGCCAGTATTTTCAACACGGTTCGTCGATTTCCAGGCTCCGCAGCGATGTCCGTTACACTATTCTTCTCTGTTTGAGTAAGTAATTATAATTCTTACAGTTTTTGATCTTATACCAGGAACTTTTCCTAAGGTCTCAATTTCTTTCTTTCGTTCTTTCTTTCTTTCTTTCTTTCTTTCTTTCTTAACCACTTTTTTCTTTTTCTTTCTTTTTTGAAATTTATTTCCATATCTTTCAATTTATATTTTATTTACTTTTCTTAAGGCTTTTCGTTCGTTCTTTCTTTTTTCTTTCTTTCTTTCTTTTTTTTTTTTTCTTTTCTTTCTTTCTTTCTTTCTTTTTCCTTTCTTTCTTTCTTAACCACTTTTATCTATTTCTTTCTTTTTCTAAATGTATTTTCAAAACTTACAATTTTTATTTCATTTATTTTCTTAAGGTTTTCTTTCTTTCTTTCTTTCTTTCTTTCTTTCTTTCTTTCTTTCTTTCTTTCTTTCTTTCTTTACTTCTTAAACACTTTTATATGTTTCTTTCTATTCCTAGATGTATTTCCAAATCTTACAATTGTTATTTTATTTACTTTTCTTAAAGTTTTTATTTCTTTTTCTGTTTTTTTCCTTCCTTCCTTCCTTCCTTCCTTCCTTCCTTCCTTCCTTCCTTCCTTCCTTCCTTCCTTCCTTCTCAACCATTTTTATATATTTCTTTCTTTTTCTAAATGTATTTCCAAATCTTACAATTTTTATTTTATTTACTTTACTTAAAGTTTATATTTATTTTTCTTTCTTTCTTTCTTTCTTTCTTTCTTTCTTTCTTTCTTTAATGTTTCCTTGATTAAATTCATTTTTTCCGTAGAATTTCTATCATCTTTCTTTTCCTTTGTCAATTTTAATATTTGTTTTTATAAATTCTTTCTTCTTCCTTCCTAACATCAAATTTGATTTATTGCTCCTTTCGATATTTCTGAACTTTTCTTTTAAATTCATTTTTTTTTTCTTTTAAATTTCTCTTTCATTATCGCATTCATTCGTTCTTTTTACTCTTCGTTCTTTCATTTTTTTCCTTCGCTCGCTAGTCTTTTTCCTTTCTGTGACTGTTTCTTTGTTTCTATCTCTGTTTCTTTCACTTTTTCATTCTTTCGTTCTTTCTCTATTTTTCGTTCTTTCATTAACTATTTTTCTTTCTTCTTTCTTTCTTTTATTCTTTCTTTCTTTCTTTGTTGTTTCATTCGATCGTTCTTTCTCTTTGGTTGTCCTTTTTTTGATATTTCATTGAATCATTCTTTCTCTTTCGTTGTCTTTGATATTTCATTCTTTCATTCTTTCTTTCTTTCTTTCTTTCTTTCTTTCTTTCTTTCATTCTTTCTTTCTTTCTTTGTTTCTTTCTTTTTTCCTTTCTTTCTTTCTTTGTTCATAATTTTGCCTTCAATTTTCCTCTCAGTATTTTTCTGTTTTTCCTTCTTCATCACATGTATTTTTTAATTTTTTTCTTATATTTTTGGGTTATTTAATTTATATTTTCTTTGCGTTAAATAATGGTCTCTTTTATTCTTTTTGCAACATTTGTCATCGAATTTACACATTTAGAAGGGTTTTTATAATACTGATCTTACAGCCAAAGAATTTCTACATTTTTTTTCTTCCTCTCTTGCATCTAAAGATTCCAAAGAGACGAATTTGGCTTTAACTTATCTCGTCATGAAATATTTCAGATATCATGAGAAAAATTTAATATAAATAATAAAAAATAAAATATTCGAGGTTATAATTCAAACCCGTCATAAACAAATAAAAAAAACAATAACTGTTTTTCTCTAAACAGTTTTATCCTACTTAAAACCCGTGTTGCATGGAGGAAGGATTCTGAATTTCAAAAAGCTTTTACGGTCGACGCCATCAATTTTTGTAATTTTGTACGACCATTTTCTTTTTATCTCACTGCATTGTTTCTCTTCATACGTTCATCTTTTTCATTCATAACTTTACGCTTCATAAGTACTTCTTGTTTTACACATTTTTTTCTTATCCAGCTTCTTCTTTGCTTACGTCACTTCTCCTGCCTCTCCGTGACATTTACTTTTTCATTTTTTTAATGCCCCCTCTCTCGTTTTTTGATGAGATTTTATTGGTTTTTTTTCTTTGTCAATCGATATTTTAACCTCTCTCACTTTCGTTTTTCTCCGTATTTTTTTTTCATTTTCCCAATAAATATTTTAAAATTATTTATTGCATTACTTCAACTCTGACATTTTTTTTCGTACGACGAGAGGTGAACTCACTGTTAATAGTTTTCCCTGATCTTTTTGTGCAACACAAATGCGCCAATGTGTCATTATCCAATGAATTCATTGCAATGTCATATAGAGACACGTCATTGTAAGTGAAATCAAAACCCGTACCAACTGTTAGTTCTAAGGCTTGATAACACGTAGTGAATACAAGTCTTTGGCCAGGGAACATATATACATATATATATATATATGTGTGTGTTTATAGGTTTCGTGATTGAAACTAGTGGTGTGTTTGTAATAACTTTTTTTTTAAACTGCTCTGGGTGGAACTTATATAAACTTTAAGGTTCTTATCAGTACTATTAAATTTATTTCTATGCATTTTGACTTGGTAGACCACACACTCTTGTTGGCAGCTGCCCTCGAGAGGGCAGGCGTCCTTATTTTGTACATTACTGGAACTTAAGCACTTGACGAGTGGTTTCGTTTTGTTTTAATCTTCTTGGTTCTTTCTTTTTTATTTTCAATTTTTTTTTACAATTTTTATTTGTACTTGGCGATTGCACACACACACACATATATATATATATATATGTAAGCAAATGTAAATGGATATAGATCCGACAGAATGAAGAAAAATTTGGAAAAAACAAACAAAAATCCTTACATGCAATTATGTTGTTTAAAATGAATGAAATGTCGACGTCTTGAACTGAATTGTATTTTAATGAATATTGTCCTGAAGAAGGTTTATTAAACCGAAACGTCAGACGTCGACATTTCATTCATTTTAAACAACATAATTGCATGTAAGGAATTTTGTTTGTTTTTTCCAATTTTTTCTTCACACACACACACACACACACACACACACACATATATATATATATATATATAGATATAGATATAGATATAGTTAGGAATAATGCAAGTAATCATCTCAGAGATATAGAGGCCGAATCGTTGTGAAGTTTGCAATGAAGAAAAATGTAATAATCCGAATAATTTAACTAATGCAAGTAATCATGATACCTCATCTCAGAGATATAGAGGCCGAAGCGTTGTGAATTTTGCAATGAAGATGAGGATAACAGTCCGAATAATATAAACAATATAAGTAATGAAAATACTTCATCTCAGAGATATAGACAGATATAGGAGTTTACTATTTATATATTGCTCTACAGCTGGGGCTTATTCTTTCACTTCCATCTAGTTTCCCAGTAATCATTCTTTCAGTTGGCTTTTAATACTAGCTTTCGCGCTACACCGGTGGCAATCATTGTTTCATTTTCTTACAACAATACTCCATTCATGGTATCCTCTTCCTTAAACAAAACGCCGACTGTTCATTATTTTTCGCTGTGGCCTGTGTTTCTCTTATCCATTCGTCAAGTTTCCACTGGATTCTCTCCAAAGAAAAGATCGATATGTCAAAAGAATTATTTTATCCAGTCGATAGCCTCACCCCAGCTTCCCTCCTCTAAGCCCGAAACTAAAATCCCCAAGAGTAAACACCTCCGCTTAATAAAGCAGACGTCTTCGGAAGCCAAACGTAGGCGGAAACATTTCATGAACACGGTTTGTTAGAAGCAATGTCGCATCAAGTCCGTGGCTTCCTCATTGGAACGAAATTCATTTTCTGGGCTCAACCGTCGGTATAATACAAGGTTACATGGCACAGTAAACACAACGCTGTCTAAGCTAACGATCTGGGCGGAGACAAAATGGCGTTAGAGTGACGCGGGTTGACGTAAAATTGTCGCTTCACAGGGCTGATCATGGTAGCGAGAAATACGTGCTGGAAGGCGATTTTGCAGTTTTATATTTAGAATGGCAAATAGAGGGATATGTTGCTACAGATCAGCGCAGATGGAGCGATGTATGCGAAAAGACCTAGAGATAAATAACCAGGAATAGATCGAAGAGATAGATAGATAGATAAATAGATAGATAGACAGACAGACATGAACATTCTAAGAGATAGATTATAAGTGTGATAGATAGATAGATAGATAGATAGATAGATAGATATGAACAGACAAAGAGAGATTATAAGTGAAATAAATAGCTAGATAGAAAGACAGACAGACATGAACATTCTAAGAGATAAATTATAAGTGTGATAGATAGATAGATAGATAGATAGATAGATAGAATAGATGAGATAGATAGATGATAGATAGATATATGAACATAGATAGATAAAGGAATATTATTCCAAAGAAAGGTGATAGATGATAGATAGATGATAGAGATAGATAGATAGATAGATACTGGAGAGAAACATTATTACACTGGGACAGATCGATCCATCGGTTCTTTAGAAATTGCTTTATTTACTTTAGAATACCAAACCTATCAGATATATTTATTTGAAGGGTCTGAAGATTTTCATTTATAAGACACTATTGAACTTTGCTCTATCATTGACACGCTTCGTGGCGGAGAGGAATGGTATAATCTATCTATCTATCTATCTATCTATCTATCTATCTATATATATATATATATATATATATATGAAATGATAATATCAATGTGGCAGTTCTGTAACATAAGCATCATGTGGAAAAACGTCCCATACCAGCTGCGCATGCCCTTCGGGTTTATTGTAATATTTTGGTGGGGCATGCGTAGGATGTGCACCCTTCGGCTTACTATATCAACAGAATATGGGGGCAATTCGAGAATGAGTTATTAAGATTTAATCGTTTTCTAGTGAGATCAAATTTCATTTTGCATTATTATGTCATGATTAAAATTATTAAAGTATATTACAGAACAAACTTTCATTCAAATATTTTATAATTCTGCCTTTTAGTTCGCTATTATATATTTTGAAACTATAAATATTTAACTTTCTTTTCTTTTTTATTTTTCTATTTCATGGACGCCATGTTCTTTGGAAGCTTGTTTAGAAATCAAGTTAATGATCTTTTAAGCTTACTTCCCGTGGATTGCTGTAAAACTTTGAATGTGTTAGAATTAAATATTACAGAGTTGAGGGCTTTTTTTTTTCACCAAAATTTTAGAAATACCGAAGTGGGCCATGGCTAAAATCCGTTGGAAACCACTGGTTTAGATTATCTTTCAAGTGCAGTGTCTATCTATACGAGTCTATTCACGTTTGTCTCTCTAGCCATATATCTCGATATATCCATGCCTTTATTTTGCATCTATCAGTCTGTACATCCTTTTCTTTCTATTAAAATCGTTCTGAAACTGTTTATCTATATATCTATATATCTATCTTCCTCTGTTCTTCTCTATATCAGATTATTCGTGTCAATATTTCTTTGTCTGAAACTCTATCACATTTCCCCTTTATTTCTCAATTCTGGCCCCTATCTGTCGTTGTCCTCCATGTATTAGTCGATTCATCCATTTCTGTCTATCGATCTCGTTCTCTCCCCGTCTATTTCCATCAATTTCTTCTTTTCTTTCATCTCTATATCTTAGTCTCTTCATAGGTAACTAGTTATACCTTCTTTTTTTTCTTTCTTTTTTTTTTTTGCTCCTAAATTGGTTGAGAACCACTGCTTAAAAACACTGGACACAAGCATCAAACGCTTCTCGTCTCTTGATAAAGGCATTCATCCTTTTAATGCGTCGTTCGAAAGAGCTAATTACCAAATGTAGCATCATCTAATAATGGTTTGTTTCTGTAATACGTCTTTTTTTTCATTATCTATCCAAATCCAAGAATTCTTTTCGTTGGTAGATGCCATTTAGAATCAACTATTTTCTTTGTTTCGTTTGTAAATTCATTATTTATCGTTTGTCCATTTTGTTTCCGTGTTCAACAATTTGACGAAAGGAAACGTTTATTATTATTATTTTTTTTTTTAATATCTAACTGTTATTCCTTTACCTCAGTTCATGTTCAACATATATTCCGACACTTCATAAATATTGCAAATGCTCGCTTTTAAACGATGTCGGACACTTGATTGATTAGACAAAATATAAACAGATGAATAAAACCAACGACACATCTAATATTTTCCTTACGCTGCGCAAAAAAAAAAAATATATATATCAACCTAATGATAAATTAGATTTAAAATAAACTGAAGAATTGCCAATATCAATCAGGTTAAAGTTAAAATCATTTTGGCATTTTATAGCGAATCACCATACTCATGCACTCTTCTGGGCATTTCGCCTACAATTTACAGTTTTTATTCCCGTTAAATGAAGGTATTTTAATATTGTGGATACATTTCTAACAGTCTTGGTTACTTGGCACTTCCGGTTGTTCATATTTTTGCAGGAAGCCGCCATGATGCTTTTAAGCGGGATTTCATTATATCTGAAGACAAAGAAACTTATTGAATCCCCTGTAGACACGTTAAATGAATTGTCAGGTGACTAATACACGCTGTAACCTAATTTATTCTAATAAAAATACTTTAGATATTTTTAAAAATGTTTTAAGCAAACGATATTTTTTGTGATGTCAACGAACACTCGTTGACATTGTTGTGATGCCAACGAACACTCCCTGTCACTTTCGTTGTAGTAGAGACTTTGTAATTGCAGATGCAACTATAGAATACCGTTGAACAATACTGGTGCCATATGCCTTCGAATAACACTCGCATTAATAGTACTTTCTCGATGATACTCTCTCGAATGTAACCACCGAATAGTGATCTAAATAGAGAAATATTATATTGTGAATACAGTAGTGAGTAGCGGTCCGTATAGTAATAGAGGATAGAATAGAAATAGCGATCCGAAAATTAATAGAGGATAGATTAGAAATGCAGATCGTTAGTCGTCAAGATACTTTCTACTTATGTGTTTCCTCTATGGTCAGTGGTCTACTTAATTCAATAATGGGATCGCCCGTGTTTGCTCACTAGCGATCTATGTTCAAACACAAGTGTCGGCAACAACGCTTTATTCCTATATAACATATTTAATCCGCTATTATTTTTTTTATTAAACTAGAGTTTGTTTTTCCAAAGCCTGTATTTATAAAACGGTTACCTTATTTTGGGATATTTTTGACGTACAAAGTTTTAAATTTGGTGTTTGCAGACACCAAAGCCGAAGTAATTGTCGAAAATGAGTTCGACTGAAAACAGATGTATTTATCAAAATTATACAAAAAAATATCTAGACATACTAAAGACTAAAATTATTCAATAAAATCGACATTTGCTTCAACCACGGCTTCCACATAACTTCGTAATCTCTTGCAACATTTCTGGAATGTCTTCTTGTTAAGGTTCGTGAATTCTTCCATCAATCATGCCTTCTGCTTTCGTCAGGAATATGTGACATCTTGCACATAGTTCGATAACTTCATGTTTTTATATATATATATATATATATATATATATATATATATATATATATATATATATATATATATATATTCTTTTCATTCATTTATTACAGTAATATCTATCGCTTACAGATTCTCTTTGCAACAGTTTTCCTTTTGTCTATGTAACTTAGATCCGTGTTACCTCATCTATCCAAGGGTGCAATGAAAGTGAGTCTGTCTCTTTGTTTTATTATGCCTTTATATATTATTACATCTTTATATATTATTACACCTGTATATTTTATTACATCTTTATATATTATTACATCTTTATATATTATTACACCTGTATATATTATTACACCTGTATATATTATTACACCTGTAAATTTTATTACATCTTTATATATTATTACACCTGTATATATTATTACACCTGTATATATTATTACATCTTTATATATTATTACACCTGTATATATTATTACATCTTTATATATTATTAAATAAGAAAAATGTATTTCTATTTAAATTTCTGCAATGGGGTATGATCGTTATTTACACTGTTTGCATACGGAATATTATCTGTGTATTGTACTCTCCTGGATATCTTGATTGATAAACCTGGTAGAACTAGCTTTAGGCGCTGACAAATTGAATTTCACAATCTCCAAAATAATTGTGCTCTGTTGTGGGTCTTCATGTTGCCTGTTTCACCCCTTCATATCCTCGGCTAACTTTGATTGAATACAGGCTAAGTCTGTTATATCAGTAACTGCATTAATTCAAAACCTTTTTTTTTAATGAACGTACTTTAAAGTAATTGAAGAAGATAGACTCTGTTACATCGAAACATGATGCTGTTTTTGCTCCATTCTAATTGAACGCTTTTTCTGATCGACCAACTGGTTATGGCTGCTAGTATTCTTATATAATTAAATCTAATACATTATTTGCTCGATTTTCTTGCTATTTTGTCTTTTCTATTTTGATTACAATGTAGTAATAATAAACTTTCTAATGTTTCAAATTATTCGTTTGCAGTCGTTAGGTTTGCAAACTAGTAGCGTTTAATGTCGTCCGCTGGATAGGAAATGATAGCAATTTCCATAATATTCCAATTATGTCAATCTTCATTTGACTGTCTTAAGTATGCCTATGATGATTGGCATAATCTTGCCTTTTGCTGTAGATAATGCCTAATTGTCACTGAGCGGAACATAAGCGTCCAGCAAGTAAACAAGACTGTCCTTTTCTTTTGTTAGGAGGTACGCTTTGAAGAGATGATAGTTAATTTCTACGTTGGAGAAGAGATCGATAAGATGCAATCATTTCGTTTGCAGGTGTTTCATTATGGAAGGAGGCTACAAAAGGCGAGTGACAAAACCAATAAATGTCCAAAACACAGCTGCACGTTGAGGTCTAACAAATATCTAAATAAAAGTTTGCTTTTACGACTTCGTGTCATTTTTTCTTCTTAAAAGGTGCCCTTCGGTTAAACATATAGTTTTCAATTAAAGTATTTTTAATGTTTATTACCTTTCCCTGCTGCGATAGCGAGAAAGAGAGAGAGAGAGAGAGAAAGAGAGAGAGAGGGGGGAGACGGTTCGGATGGACGGACAGAGATAACGAATTGACTATCATTTGTAGATAGATGCATAGATATTAACGGACTATCAAAGATAGATAGATAGATAGATAGATAGATAGATAGATAGATAGATAGATAGATAGATAGATAGATATTGATAGACTATCATAGCTAGCTAGTTAAAATGAAAATTAACAGACTGTCGATAGATAGATAGATAGATAGATATTAACGGACTATCAAAGATAGATAGATAGATAGATAGATAGATAGATAGATAGATAGATAGATATTAACGGACTATCATAGATAGATAGATAGATAGTTAGATAGATAGATAGATAGGAACAAACTGATATAGAGAGATAGAGTGATAGATATTAACAGACTGTCATAGATAGATAAGTTTTATATATATATATATATATATATATATATATATATATATATATATATAGATACACCTAGTGAGCCAGACAAACCTACCTAGGTTTCACCTAAACGATTTGCTCTACGATTGTATTGAGCTCTTTTGTTAGTTAGTTGTTACTCGTATCGGGGTTTTTTCTTTGGGCTTCAGACCTGCATCTGTGCGATTTTTTGTCGGCAGAAGTTTATGTTTGTAGCTCTTTCTTTTTTTAAAACCTTTTTTTCCCTCGAAACTGATTTGATTAACAAATCAAAAATTCGAGGGTTTTTCGAAACGAGTCTCTTATATATATATATATATATATATATATATATATATATATAATATATAAATGTATAACATAACATTATATAGATAAATAGAAAAGAACAGACAGATACAAAAAGGAAACGTGCGTTTCTATTGGACGGGTTATATTTCGTATGAAGGTAAAAAAGTTACTTTCTGACCGTTAGACATTTCTTGGGGTATTTCAAGGCGGACACATACAAGTTATTTTCTAAGTCACAGCTTAGATGTGGTACAAGGCCGAAACTATTGGGCACTCCAGTGGGGTATTGAACTCACTACTAAATTGAAACAGTTCTAGCGAAACAAGCTTATTAACCATTACACCATCTCGAGGTGCCCAAAGGCGGACGCATAAAAAGACACGCACACCCGCATTCATACATAGTAGATGAAAAAGTTTTAAGAACTTTTTCCATCTGTTAATTGTTGTCGCTCTCGTCTAACTTATTGCGTAGACTCTTAAATTGATTTAAGTCATGTTAAATTTGTTAGGCGTTTATACTGACATTGTTATTATTATTTTGATTTCTTTTGATTTCTGGCGTTTACACATTTCTTTCCGCGTCCCACCCAAGGACCTAAGGTTAGAAATGGCATCATGACACTTTGAACTGACAAAAAAAAAAAAAATCCCGTAGATAAAGCCCTTCGTAAAGTGTGGGCTGTACTTTTGAGAACAATTTTTTGTATCTCTTTGAGGCATGGACTTCCAGGAATCCCTTCAGTTGGTCTACTGGAATCTTTTCCAACCAATTCTAGGGAACTTCAACCGGGATTATTGATGTTCCAATACCGTGCAACCTGATACAAGATGATCGTTTCTGGATATTTATCACAGAATCTGCATTTTGGGCTAACACAGTATTTTAGTATATTTGTGCTTGGTAATTTCTTGTTAACAATATTTGCTCCTGTGCAGCTAGGATAAAACCTTCGATTCCAGCTGTTAACCCTGCACTACGTAGCCACTGATGGGTACGAGTTTTCTCTGCGTCAGCTTGTTTGGTACGGACAGAGTATTAGCCATGAAGCGGTTTATCTGGCCATTGTTTCTGTATATGGTCGGTTGCATTTGTTTTTGCTTTCTTTTTAAGTATTTTGGATCTTCAGGTGGTGTATTGTGCTTTACTTATTATTATTATTATTATTATTGTTGTTGTTGTTGTATGTCAGTTGCATAATATTAAAATCAATAGCCAAAATCTCAGACGAAGATGATTTCTTTTTTTCTTTTTAATTAATCATGAAGAAAAACCAGTTCGTGCAAAATCAACTTCAAAGTTAAGCAATGTCGATCCTGGCCAGTACCTATATAGGTGACCGTTTGAGAATACCAGGTGCTGTAGGCACGTATGTGCGTGTGGTGTAATTGATAATGACTCAGAATTAGAAATCGGAGAGCCGAGTTCCAATTCCAGTCGTTTTTTTTTATATTCCTTTACGCGCAATTACAATTGGGAAATGTATGTAAACATCTCTTCTCCCCCCCAGCTATGGGCTAATTAGTACTACTGATATCAGTAAATCATTATTATCAGCAAAAAATTATTACAATCTAAAAAAAAACAATAACTATTTTCAGGTTTTAAATAATCTGCTAAATGTTGATAACCCGTAAAACACAAAGCAATCAACCAATTCAACATATCAATACAATAGTAGTAAGATAAACCATATTAACTTAATGTTTAAGTAAAGTTCAGTTGATTTCTTTTCATCGAATCAGCTGCAGTTGCTACTGACAGGCAGCTCTTGACTGAGTCAGGCTGTTTGCTGCCAGGATCGCGGCTGGCTTGTTGAACTCTCTGCCTTCTGAGAGAGAGGAATCCAGACGAAGCTAGGCCAAAGGGCAGGGTTACGTCTGGGGAAGTAGACAAACCCGACTCCATGTATGCGGGGTCGACGGGGAATTTTTGCCCAAGCCTACGGGTTCAGAACAGTCCCACATAAAAAAACAAAAACGGCCATATCCTGCTCTGTGGGGATGCTATGGTAAATACCGCAGTTGTTATTGACTGCTGAAGGCCATGCGGACTGCATTTCATTTTCCATAAATTTACTCTGTATTACGTTTCGAAGTGTCATATTACTGACACTTACAGTTTGAGTCACTGTTTAGAAATAAAAAATACTGAAATATTCTACAATATCTTTCCTCCTATATGGCAGCGAATGCTGGACAATCTCCTCATCGACGAAGTCAATTCTTCGTCGATGAGGAGATTGTCCTGAAGCACAAACATGTGATTATACAAAGGATGCTGAGGATACCATGGGTCGAATATGTGAGCAAAGACGAAGTTTTAGAGAAAATGGAAACAATTATAATTAAAATTAGGAAGAGTCAGTTGAAATTTCTAGGGCACATAATGAAGAAAGAGGGCTTGGAAAATGCAATACTCACAAGATGGACTGAAGGCAAGAGGGATCATAGGAAAACAACGAATAACCTACCGAGCGAGCTTGATTAAATGGACGACAGAGAAATGTTTATGCGAGATAACAAAGAGACAAAAATTATTAAGAGTTACAAAAGACAGGAAATTGTGGAAAGCCATGATCACCTACGTCCTGAAGGAGCAAAACACATAGAAGAAGAATAGATTCTTACAATTTTCAATTGTTCCTTACAGTAATTCTAAACTTTGTGCAGGCTCTCATCAAATACTTGTTTTTCTATTGGGCGAACTAGACTGTTCTTATACCATAAGACTGATTAGGATAACACTTGCTCTTGGTCATAGATATCACGTTTTTGGTATAATGCCGTTTACTGCGTTTTTCAGACGTTTTCTGAGAATTTCAAATCAACCGCTTCACTCAATTAACAAAAGCAGATTGTTTTTCTTACTTCAAAATTAACATCTCTGATAGCAATATTTAATGATTCCTTAGGAAAATGATTGGTCGCCATTTTATTAAACTTCGAGAAGTTACCGTGTATCCATATCAAATGATTTCATTATTTTGAAGCCACTTTGCGTAGGGAAGGGGGGCAAGGTTTTGTATATCGGTCAACAAAGCCTGGGTTACACGTGATATTTGTGAGAGAACGGTGCTTGGAGAAACACACTTCAAAATGTTTTATTGACATATGATAGCCTTTTTTTTCAAAAGCCAGCGATGTTGCCTATTGAAACCTTTTGCTTTAAAAAAAATTGTTAGCCATACAAACATAAGCGCTGAGTACAGAATATTGCTATTACATATATTTTGTACAATGTGGAACCAAGATAAGTCTATGAAACCTCAGCATATGTCTGAAACAACCATGTATTCATTATCATGCAGCTGCCTCACCAGAATAATAGTCTTTTTGTAAATATGTATAGTAATGGTTTCATTTGATTTGGTTTGGTTTGGTTTACGGCATAACAACTTCAATGAGTTATTTAATGCCGACAAGATTTTTATTGCTGGTAATATTTTGTTTTAAATATATTGCTGGTAATATTTTTTTTTCAAAAATTCATTGCTGGTAATATTTTTTTAAAACTTTATTGTCTGCATTAAAACCTGTTTTTACAATTTCATCGTGTTTAGACCCCATTTTGGGGGTTAACTATTTGCCCATAGCTGGGACTCTACCACCCCGGGTGAGGGTCGACATGAAAACAGCAGCAATTAAGAGGTGGTTCCATACTCCTCAAAATCTCCTGATCAGTGCCTTTGCTGTTGGACGTAGTTTATCGTCTGACACAGGACACGGATATAGTTTATCGTCATACCCAGGACGGATATATATATAGATATAGATATAAGTTAATAGAATTTAGGAACGCTATTGTATGTTCATATGTTCAACTGAAAAATTGCGTTAATTACTTTAAGTTTGAAGAGAATAACAGAATCACAATTCTCCCAAACCAACGTTTGGCTTGTTTTGTTTTACGGCATATCAACACCTCAATGGGTTATTTAATGCCGACAAAATTTTCATTGCTGGTAATATTTTGTTTTGTCAAAAATCTATTTCTGGTAATATTTTTTTTTTTTCCAAAAACGTGTTGCTGTAATAATTTTTTTACAAAAATCTATTGCTGATAATATTTTTTCTTCAAAAATGTATAGCTAGTAATAGTTTGTTTTTTTTTTTCTTCAAAAATTTATTGCTGGAAATAATTTTTTATAAAGTATTTCTGGTAGTAAAACCTGTTTTTACAATTTCATAGTGTTTTTACCCCAGTTTGGGCGTTAACTATTTGCCCAAAGCTGGGACTCTAACAGCACCCCCGGTGAGGGTAGACATGGGAACGCCAGCAATTAAGGGATGGTTCCACTCTTATCAAAACCTCCTGATAAGAGGCCTTTGCTGTTGGACGTAATTTATCGTTTTACCCAGGACGCGGATGTGGTTTATCGTCATATCCAGGACGCACATATATGGTAATCTTGCAGAGTCAAAAGAGCAAACTTTGACCTTAGTGTTGTTGAGAAAGAAGGAAGTTTTAAGAAAAAATGGAAACAAAAAGGACAATTATACATAAAAACAAAAAGTAAGTGTTGATATTTCTGAGAAATGTAGGTCTGGATAACCTGATACTCACAAGAATTCTGACGTCACTTTAAAGCATGAGGT